GATTGCGTAGCATACCCCTCCTCCTCCTCCTCCTCCTCCTCCTCCTCCTCCCCTCCTCCTCCTCCTCCTCCTCCTCCTCCTCCTCCTCTCCTCCTCCTCCTCCTCCTCCTCCTCCTCCTCCCTCCTCCTCCTCCTCCTCCTCCTCCTCCTCCTCCTCCGCCCTCCTCCTCCTCCTCCTCCTCCTCCTCCTCCTCCTCCTCGAGCCGAGCAAACACAAAACACGGCGGAAGGCTTTCCGCCACTGTCGGCCTGGCGGGCATCCCTTCTTCAAGACAGCAGCTTCCCATATATGTTTGGACCTGCCCTCGCAGTGATGTGTACTCCAAGTCTTAGTGGGCCCTGGAAACGACAAGAACGAATCTTCACATCAAAAGAATTTCCATCATATGAAAAGAATTCAGAGTCCTCCTCCTCATCCTCCCTCCTCCTCGTCCTCCCAGCGTCCTTCCTCGCCCTCCCAGCGATCCTCCTCATCCTCCCTCCTCCTCCTCCTCCTCCTCCTCCTCCTCCTCCTTCTCCTCCTCCGCCTCCCGCTCCTCCTCCTCATCCTCCTCCTGCTCCTCCTTATCCTCCCACTATGCCTTCTCATTAGCCTCATGAGTGCACGCATGTATACACATGTGTTCACGCGTATGATTGAAACCATGCCAAGTGCACGCACATGTATACAAGTCGTGTATACGCAAGTATGTGAGCGACGTGCGTATGTACATACAACCGACTGCTCCTCAGGCCCCAGGCCTCCTCAGTTCTCTCATTCGAAATCGGCCAATGGACTTGTCCTGGAGCGCGTTCGGTTTCCAAGAGTTTTCGAAGCAGATCCAGTCGAAGTGACGAGAGCACCCCTGGAAGCCCAGAAAAATCAGAGAACTTAACAAACACAGATCCGATCCTCAAACCTGATGCAACCCTGGGATTGGATGTTCTGGATCCCCAACTTGCCCCCCTTCTGCGGTTGAGTCTGGGGGCGGGGGTTGGGGCGTCGTCTCTGTGTATGTGTCCCCCATCGGGCCTGTCGTGTTTGTTTCTTTCTTTTTTCTGAGCGGAAAGTGTGGCAAGCCAAACGATGCATCACAAACGATCACAAACGATGCAGCGCGAACAATGCATCACTGCCAAATTGCGAGCGATTGCGGGCGTCAAACGCGAGCACGACGTGTGCTTCTCAGCAAGCGGTTCAGCCCTCACTCCATCCCTTCATTCACTTGGGTCTCATCATCAGGATCACATCGGCAAGGTGTCCTGGTCCGTAATCTGCCCCTGGCATTTCAGGTTGAATTTCAGGTACTCTGTAATCTCTTCCATGCTCAGCGGGGGCAAAGTGTCTGGGTCTGGCTCTGGCCTGCTCCCGCTCGAACTGGCAGCGCCGACGGACGGGTCCCCTAAGCTCTGGGTGGGCAACGGTGGCGGCGGCAGGCCCTTGCCTGCCTCCAGGGAATCTTCGGGCGGCGTCGGCGGAGCGCTGACGAGATCGACCTGATCGATAGGAGCACTCATCACGGCAGGTTTCTTGGAGGGTGGTTGGTCGTTTGGGTTCTCCTCTTCCTTGGGGTCCTTGGGGCGCTTCGACATCCCTGGTACTGCATCTTCTGCAGGAGTAAGAGGCTGGCCTGGAAGTGACGGAGGTGGAGGCGCCTTCGAGCGGATGCTTACACGAAATGGTATAGCGATGATTTCATCTCGCTGGTAGCCGTGCGGGAGCTCCCGCAAGTTAATGACGAGACTCGGGTACTTGGCAGCAGACGCTGCGCTTTCGAGATCCCCCATCCCGCAATCGTCGTATAGTATAGGAACGTTCGCGCGAGCCCAACTCGAATCACACTGTATGCGCTCAAACCCTGAAACGACAGCGGATGAGGTGGGAGAAGAGGGAGGATTGCATCACAGACAGAGCTTAGGGGCTCGGTGAACACGTGCGCGCTCCGGGGGGGCATATGGTGGACGGATGGGGAAGACCCTCCTCATGCTCCAAGTTTTCCCACTCCTCCTCCTCATCTTTCTCCTCCACCTTCTCCCTCCTCATCCTCCTCCTCCTCCTCTTCCTCCTCCTCCACGTCCTTCTCCTCCACCTCCTCTTCCTCATCCTCCCTCTGCTCTGTAGTGCCCCTCAAGCTAGTTTCCATCGCAGGTGTCTCGAGCACAGAATGTCATGTTTATCTGACTGGTAGCGGCTGCAATCACAATCGAGCCAATGCGAACCACACTCACATTCAGCAACACATCTCGCAGTGCCGGGCCAATCTCCACATCAGATAAGCTTCACGGCGGACCCTGCAGGGATGTTCAAGGCCTCCCTGATGACCACTTTGGGGCACACTGGGACCAGTCCCTTAGGGCTCCACTTGCACGACCACATGATGCTGAGTAGTGGCGAGTTCGCCCAGGAATCGATCGGAACCAAGGCCCCAGCATTCTGGAAGGAGATCTTCAACTTCTTGGAGTCTGAGTTGTCACCACCATCAGAAGTTCCATCGACACATACGTCGGAGCCAACTTTGAGACGGTCCTGGATGTTGAAATACACTGTGGTTTTGACCTCAACCGAGAAAGATCCTGGCTTCTGGTCCTGGACAATGTCCTTCATCGTGTGAAAGCACAGTTTCGCCAACTTCGGATCCTGCGTTTTCTTGTCCTTGACAGTCTTGTAGACGTCCTCTGAAGCAAAAGGCTAGGAGGATAGTGATAGAATCTCTTCCTCGATGTCCTCCCCCTCATCCTGATTCCTCCTCCTTCCTCCCCAGCCTCCTCCTTCCTCATCCTGATCCCTCCTCCTTCCTCATCCTGATCCCTCCTCCTCCTCCTCCTTCCCTTCCCCCTCCTCCGTTAGCCCTTGCGTCCTGGACGACCGGGCCAAGGGCGATCAGCTCGTCCTGGGACGTGATTCTGAACTCCATAGACTTGCCATCTCCAGCAGCCTTCTTCTCGAACTTGGAGCCCTTCGTCGGGAACAGGACGACCACATGATGCTGTGGAAGCGTGATGTCAGTCTCGCTCTTGTTGCAGAGGTACACAACCTCGTTGACCATGAACTTCAGAACGACCTGGTTGGATTTCAGATTGGCCACTGGAACCTCTGCCAAAGGTTGCGTCGAAATATCTGACAAAGGAGATGCAGCAGCAGCAGCTTTCTCGTCGGTCTTGAGGTGCTTGGTCGGCGGTGTCGCAGGATCCACATCTGCTCCTCTCTTCTTGGACCTCATATCGCCGTACTTGGCCTCCAACTTCTCCACCAGCTCCTCGAACTCTTTGCCGAAAGTGCTGTGACCCGACCACTTATCCATCATGCGATGTGGGATCTTGATCGCGGGCAGCTCGCCTGACTTCTGCGACCAGGTCAAGACAGACAGGGAAGGTTTTTCTGGAGGCGCATGCTTCTCCTCCTGGGGCATGGTCTTGGGCGGAGGTGCCTTCTTGTCCTTGATGAGACCATTAAGCCAGTTCGCTGCAACTTCCCGCTTGGCAAGCTCCCTCAGCCATTCACTCTGTCGCATGTCCTCGGGCAGAAGTGCCAAGGACATCGGCGCCTCGAAGGAGGAGACGAGGTTCAGGTACGCCTTGATGGATACGCCAGCATCAGCGCTCAAGTCGACGATCATGATATTCATCGGGTCACCATTCAGCTCGTTGCTCGTGTGAATACCGTCAGCAGCCCCTCGGATCATGGCCTCTATAGCTGGGGGCCCCACCTGCTGGAAACGAATCGAAGGGCAGATCGTGTGCTTCTCGTCGGATACAGCCGGCATGGCATCCTCGCTCATGTCCTCGATTTGCATCATGTCGGAAGGCTTGACGAATGGCACGCGGTCGGTGAAGCCCTGGTTCCATAGGCGGCTCTTGAGGAAGCAGCTCGCCCCTTCCGTTCCTTCCCGAACTATCGGGACGCAGAATCTACCATCGTAGTTGGCAGGCCTCTCATCACGAGCATCAGCAGTACCGTCAGCGAACACGACCGAGAACTTGCGATCACAGTTGAAGCCAGTCTGGGACAGGGCCTTGAGAGCGTTCACCTCTGCCATCCACAAGGCCGCCTTCTTGTACACAAAATTCGGCATCAACACCAGGACGCCTGTGACTAGGAGGAGTTCGCAAAAAAAAAAAACTTCACCCCCTTCTGATTCCTCACCTCCACCTAATCCTCCTCGTCCTCATCATCTCTCTCCTTTTTCATCCTGCTCACTCTTCCGAGCTCCACGAACCCTGTTGTCACGGGGCGTCTTCTGGGGTCCTCTTTACGCCTTTTGTGCTCCAGTACTTCACCCAATATTTCAGCGTGTGTTGCAGCGACTGGTTTAAAGATTTGGTCGCGGCTGTTTCGAAGGACTCGGTCGACAGTTCAGGGGGAGAAACTAATAGCCACCAGAAGGCCTGGAAGTTTCTTGAGAGGGTTGGGTCGTCGGTGAGGGCTCCAACGGTGACCTCCAACGGCGCCTTCTAACAGCTGTGCGGCGTACTGCCCATGGTGACCCCCAACGCTGTTGACCCGAGGGCCTGTGGATGACATCGAGGTCCTCGGCCTTCTCCTACTCCTCCCCCTCTAGTTCCCCTAGTTCCTGAGAAGGGGCGGTCCCCTCAGCAAACCTACCTCTACCCCGATAGGGGATCAGAAACACCCAGGGAAGACCAGGGGGCCCCCAGGAGTTTCAAAACTTATTCCTGATCCTCCTCTTTCCTCTTCCTGCTGGTGCTGCTGCTCCCCCTCCTCCTCCTCCTCCTCCTCCTCCTCCTCCTCCTCCTCCTTCTCCTCCTCCGCCTCCCCCTCCTCCTTCTCCTTCCTTCTCCTCCTGCTCCACCTCCTCCTCGTCCTCCTCCTCCTTTCTCCTCCTCCTCCTCCTCCTCCTCATCCTCCTCCTCCTCCTGCCTCCCTCCCAGAGCCTGTCAAACAGCAACTCGACGCCGTGTCCAGCAAGCTCATCAGCTGCGTCTGGTGCTTCCTGAGCTCTGAAGAGCTCTGAGATGGCGATACCCAGTTGATTAGGCCGATCACCACCTTCTTGGCGCCT